ATCTTATTTATGTTGGTATGTTTTAGACTTTGACTATTTGCCCATCTGGTGGGCTGAAAGGCCACAAAAATCAATTATTACAGAAATACTTTTGCTCTAATGTACAGATTTTAATTCTGTAATATGAAAACCTGCACCCTAATTAAGATGATTTAATAAATGCTTAAAAACAGAAGTGTTGGCAAAACTTCAGAAAAAGTGAAAAACACCACCACACACATATTGGGACAAACTGCTTTCTGAACTACAGACAAAGGCTGCAGTATGTATGGAGCTACAGGAACAACGGTGATCTGAAATAAAGTAGCACCATCAGAAATTCAGCACTTCCTGAACACCTACAAGCATCACCAGACAACTACTATGTAACTACTATTTCTATGAGTGCCAACTGTCATCACAGAACTTTAATTTATTATCTAAGAAGCATATTTCACATATGAGACGAAGCAGAGAGGAATCCTGGATGCTTTGCACTCCTCAGAGAAAGGCAACTCTAGTACATCTTGGTGTACAATATCACCTTGGAAAACTGCAACCAAAAAGAAACCCCAAAACCCAACAGTGTCTATGTATTAGTACAGTCAGTTTAAAGATATTACACATACATTTGTCACCAAAGGAGGTTCATTGAAATCAACACTGTCATTTAACAGGTCTCATTTCTTTCTCTAAGAGATACAGGGAAAAGACACAAATCCTTACTGTGATGTATCACATTAAAAACCAGACTGGTTTCTAAGGAACATATCATATATAAAGCAAACCCACCAAAGAGAAAATAGTGCTGTGAAGTACTTATTCGTTGGAAGAAGCTGACACACTTATGAAGATTGAAACTGCTGCAAAGCTGCTACAAAGCTGCAGATACTGCTTGCATTGCCTTTCTTGAACCAGAAAAGCCACTATTAGAGCCAGGACAAACAGAGCACATAATGACCAAATACATCATCTTTACACCTGCAGTGCTACAAACCAAGTCTTTGAAGCCACATGGGAGATAAGGGTGCGGCAGATCCAGGCTAAGGTAAAATACAAATCAGCATCTTCACATTTGCCACACAAAAATCATAGAAGAAGAAGAAGAAAAAAAAAGTCAAAATTATGTACCAATTGCTGTATTGCTACTTCTTTGGGAAAGCATTTTAGTCATAATTATTCCTGTACTAGAATGGAAAACTGAGTATTTTAAATACCATAAAAAAGGGTTCTTAGTATAGATAATCAAATTACTGTTTCTCAACATCTCTTAGCATGCTCACACCTACTGCACAACTTTATTGCATTATTCAGTCATTTGTTATGCAGAATTCAGAAAGGAAGGAAAGGAGAATGGCACATGACATGTGAGTATGAACTCTGCTGGGGACATATCAATGCTTCCAAGTCACTGGGGTACCTCAAGAGAGTAGAGGTAAGTTTGCTTTCTCAGTAGTGTAATTCATGTTTTTATCTCTGTGATTTTGATACAATAGGACTTACGACACCAGGCATATTTCTGACTTCTGGCCACACAGGTGCTTTTACAGACGTTCAGGAATTATTGCCCACTGCAGAACTGCATGTGATGTGATTCAATAATTTGTGTGGTTTTGTTGCCCATAAAAGTCATATTTGTTACCCAGTGTGCAACAAGCCAATAATTACACACTTGAGAGAGATATTGATAATTTATTTCAGAGTTATGCAAGCCTGGGTGCTCAGTGGTATTCCACAAATCAGCACACTAATTATCAAAACTTTTTAATATTTATACATTTTAGCAAACAAAGGAATTAGTGGTCATTGTCTACAAGTTATATAGTTCTCTTATTATTCTATCTTCTTTTGGTTAATGATTCTCTCACTTCTTGTGCTAGTTAGTCTGCATGCTCAGTCTTTCTATTGAGTCAGTGGGTTTCTTGGGACAGTGGTCCATGAGCCAGCAGTTGCGAACTCCTCCTGCTGGAATCAGCTTTCACCCAGTTGGAGCTGATTTCAGTACAACTGCAGTTTCTTCCTTATCTTTGGAGTTCCAGTAGATGTCTTTGTGGCCCATAAATTCTACATTTCTCATGTCCACTATGAGTGGGCATCCTTCTTCCCAAGCTTAGTTAATCTCCCTTTAGGTCTGAGATCACTGAAGCATGCCAAGCCCTAAACATTAACAAGGCAATTCTACCAACAAGTCATTTGTCCTTCTAACACCTGGACATCACTTAAGGCTTGTTAGCTGCTATGTATTTCATGGATTAAATCTCCCTTCTTGCTGTTTAGGTGTGAAAGTATACAATGATCAAACATTAGAGAATGTCCTTTCTTAGGAAAATTTTACATATTCCATATTTTGCAATGTTTTCTTCTGCTTCTGTCCTATTATGTTTCTAAATGGAATTGTTATGAGCAAAGAGCAGAATTATTGCAGATACTACAGTGCAGATCAATTAGACTGTTGCAAGTGGAGGTTTTCCTATCGTATCACGTAGTTGACCAAGCAAGACAACTATCATCTCTTCCTATAATTTAAAAATTCCCCAATGCATATAAAAGTGCAGTTCTGTTCTGAAAGCTGCCTGTAAAAAATGGTACGTTCCTTGAATGGTTTCAAATAAAAAAACTCATTATGTAGTGATTAAAAAAAATAAAATAAAAAATTGTGCCAGTCCTAGAAGTGTATCTCGAACTCTACTGCACACAAGGACTCTGTAACCAGAACTCAGCTAGTACCTTTCAGTTATGACGTGCATTTCGTCTTATTCTGTTCTGTATCTGTACTACATCTGCCACAGTAACAAAGTTTTCAGAAATAACAGGAATATATCACTGAAGTCAAGAGATGAGTCATTACCAGTGACCATGTATCTCCAAAGAATTGAGTAAGATGGGGGAGGTTGACTGTAATCTGACTTGAACATCACAGTGACTCACCAATCCACTTGACTTGCATATGACAAGGCACTCCAGCATGGGAATACAAGCAAATAAATAAATAAAGCAGCCCAGAAAGTCTCTTCCCAATCACATTAATAGCAGACATATAGAAAATGTATCAGGAGTCCTACTTTAATAAAAATAATAACACGTAGAGATCTCCTGGGAAATATGGGATCAGAAGAACAGAAAGTAAGATTACACAGGTTGCATGCAAAGGAGATAAATGGAAGAAAAAAAATGAGTTCTATAATTACAGAACGGTCATTTGCTTTTTTATAAGGAGATTATCGTGAATGTTCTGTTTAAAACAAGAAATTCTATGTACAGTACTTAGAATTTACTGAACAACCTATGAAATATAAAGCTTTGCAAAATATGAAGTAACCAGTTTTTGTATTAAACAGTAAATAAACTCTTTTCTTACATATATATTTTTTAGTCAATAGACAAAAATTATGAATCTTTATATGCACACATCATAAAAGAGATCTTGACTCCAGGGTAGAAGGGAAAAAACCCAAAAAAGTTCAGTAAAATTTATTCCCTAAATGTTAGGGAAATTATGCTAAGTCTCCCTGCTTATTATTTATAACCTTTATACAAAGATACGAAGAATTTTATCGGTAACTACGTTTTAAAAATGTACTGTGCTTCAGCCAAATGCATAAATAAAAATCTCTATTTATATAAACAGAGATGCTTTATCCTGAGGACAGCACACCCAAACATAGTACTTTCATTTTACTTAATCTGAGAGATGAGTCAAATTTATTTTTTTTAACTAGGTGGATCCTAAAGTTAACCTCCAAAATCCTCACCTTGCCTTCAAAACATCAGGCAGTAACATGAAGAGATGTTGGTCAGGTTATAATATAAACAGGATGTGAACAGAAATGGATGCCATGAAAGTAGAAAATAAACTGCATGTCAACTATTAAGCCACCCAGAGAAGGGAGAGGAGTTTTGTTGTAAATGGCATTAGAGCTCTGTAATTTATCAGCCAGTGCACCTGATTTCTAAAGCCAATTCCACATGCACAGGTCTGCTGTAGTCATTGTGAGTGCTGGAAGTAGCAGCTACATTAAAAGCAGCTGACAAGAGTACTACAGTGACCAGCAAAAATTAGATTTAATGCATTAGAATACACAACAATGTAGCAGATTTTGTTGATCCCATCACATCACACTACTGGGGAGAAAAAAAAATTGAAGAAAGTAGCACCCAAGTAGCAGAAAAAACTAACTCTTAAGGAGATTTCAAGTAGTTAAAATCCAAATACATACACATGCCCCTTTCAGGAAGAAAACACTGAAAGAAGATATTTCATAGAATTATAGAATGGTTTGGGTTGGAAGGAACCTTAAAAATCATCTAGGTTTGATATTCGTTACTTCCTATTTAGTTTGTTGTTGTTATTCCCTTCTCATGGTTTAGCTTTTATTTCAAGAGACTTCCATATAATTCTTTACTGTCTTAAAAAATAGTCAAAATCTAAACCTCTGAATTGCTCTGAATTCATTATAAAGCTCAAATGCTCTGAACAGATGGAATGAATATTTCCTACAGTACATGAGCTATCCAAGAATTCACAGGCTATATGTGTATAAAACAAGGAAAATTAGGTGGGTTAACAGCAGGAAAGTAGCTACAGCATCCCACTATGGATATAGAGACGTGAGTGTGAGCCCTTTGTCTGGATGAGTGCCAAGGCCTCCCCACAGTTATCTTAGCTGTAAATAGGTAGCTCTTCATTCAAGCTGAGAAGAAAAAAGGCAGACAGATGTGATACTAGCCATATTGCTCCCTTGTGTGCTGTTGGCTGCAAAATACAAGTGGGCCTTAACCACGAGATCGATAAGGCACCTCCACCCAGAAGGGATCTTCGGTAGGTATTGCATTAGAGAAACCTACCCACGTATCAAAGCATCCATAAGTCTGTTGATTTCTTTATAATTAAAAATAAAAATAAATTTTAAAAGCACCCAAATTACAGATTTTTCAACAAAGACAAATCTCATTAATAAATACAGTTAATACAGTTTTAGTGTAAGAGCTATTAGAAGCTAAATAAAAATTCCCATTTTTACCCCTTTATACTACTCCTCCAGCATTGCCCATTTTCTCCCTTTTTCCTTTTCTAAATGGTTTTATTCTGTTTAAATGATTCTTCCTCATTGACAATCTTGTCTGTTGGATTTTTTCCACTGCTTTGTTCCGATATCCAGAATGCAGAGCATCCCCACCTCACTTTCCCATAGGATTCCTTTCCTTGTTCATGTTGCCTTTTTTTCTCTTTACTCCTCTGTTTACTCTGTGCCTTTGCTTCAGCAGAAAAGAGTCCAAGCAAAGCTGAAAAACAAAATGGGAAGCAACAACATTCCTTCGCTACTCCACTGTTTTGTGCATGGAAGCATGCCATTTGTGAGGGAACAGAAACAGAAATCCCTGTGGCATTTGACAAGGATGTTATGTTGCTCGGGCAACCATTCCTAATTGCCTTTTGGGATGCTGAGCCAACAAGATGGATTGTTTCTGCTGGTCTGTATGAAGGTCACAGTAGCATAGGGCAGTGAACACAGGTTACTGCTACAACAAGTGAGGCAACGAAAAAATATACATCAGGCAACCCTGTACGCAATAACACGTCAACCACACATAAAACCCAATCTATGCTGCAATTAAAGTCATGTAAGACAATGTGTACAACAGTTGTCATAGAAGACTACAACAACTACTATGCCAGAGACAATGTTATTCTAGACTCATGCTGAAAGCAAATCTCAGTGTTTCTCCTGGTTTGAAAAATTAAACATATAAAAAAAGCTATTTATAACTTATATATATGTAACAGTATCCTACAAGAAACAGATTGTCAACAGCACTTTGGCAGGGCACTATTAACATCCTTTAAAGATTGAGATGAAAAATTTTCATAAAGTAAATGCTGAAACAAATAAAGGCGGTAGCTTTAAGAGCAAGAGCTACTTCCTCAGAGTCCTCCAGAGGGTTCATCTCAGTATATGAATATTTTGCATCTTAAAAGAAACACACCATATGCTGGGATGGCTTTTTTTAACTAGGAAACTCTGCCTTATATTTTTGGAACAAGCAAGTTTTTCCTTGGGTATGTTTATTGACATGTTTCATAAACCTCAAATCCTTAACTGAAAAAAGAACCTACTTTGGCTGTATGAAAAGCAGCTTTTTTGGTTTTAGTTCAGAAACCAAAAGGAGGAAAAAAGGAGAAATTTCATGTAATTTGGGAGGAAAAGACCATTTAAAGATCAAGACACAGTAAAATGAACATTTCACTGCACATGTATTCAGATAAAATTTCAGCTTTTCAAAATTTTCTCTATTTTCACTTTTATGTAAAGCATTTGGTAAATTTAATCCAGATTCACTAACAAGGGCACAAAATCGAAACTTTTTTTTACAGTTTAACGAACTGATAAATTGCACTTCCTAATCCAACAGTCAAAAACCCTCTTCTGTGGATCCCAATATTGCCTCTATTTCTGCCTGGCACACAGGAGGTACAGATCCACCCGAAACTCTCCGGTTTTCACTGCCCTTGAAGCCATGCAGAAACTTACGGCAGATCCTTTAAGATCATAGCAGAAACATGGAAAATTACCCAAATTTTTCTTTTAATCATGTTTACTCTGTTTTCACTTTAGTCTCTGCCCTCTAATACAAAGGTTTCCCCAGCCTACACTAACCAACCCACATTACTGGAAGCAATGTCTATCCTTCCTGAGTTTCTCCAAACCTACACTTACTGCAGCACGCTATAGTAGGCACATATACATGCCAAATTTATGGTCTAGGAATTGACTGGACCAAGTAAGGAAGGAAAGATGTATCAAGTTCCCTGTGACACTTCCCAGTCCAACAGCAGAGGAAAAGTAAGAGCAGCGTGTTGTGCTCTCTGCTTTGAGTTACTGTAAAGGGCAGGACACCAGGCTCAGCAGACTTAATGTACCACATCCATCCTGTGCTCACCTTTCATGTCGAGGAGAGGAAAAAAAGCAACAAAAATATTTTCAAAACCATTAGCAGTACTCTAAGGAATCTTGACTATAACCATTTTTCCCCCCATGGATCATCCCAGTTCCCAAAGCTTCAGAATAGCTCCCAACAGACAGAGTAAGAGATGTAACTGTAGCAATTTAATGTACTTATTTACCCACAACTGGTCAGAAAGCTCTGATATAGTGTTTGTTTAGATAGATTTGCATGTAGTTGCAATTTTTTTTTTTTTGCAAAAAATAATGTCTTAGCCAGAATGGGTGGCTCCTTCCATGTATTTCACATTTGCAGGCATTTTCCCCTGTTCAAGCAAAGCACTCCAGTTCTCTAACATAAAAAAGGCAGATTTTACCACTGAGAACACTTGAACAACAAGACCATCTGAAAGGCCCATGTCACACATAACTATCAAGATGTTCTGCATCCTAAAATGCTACTACTTGCACTTAATACACCAACAAGGTCAGCGATATCCCACCATTAGCACTCAGGGGCCTTCAACTTTCATAAAACATACTCAAGAGGCATTTTCAATTTCATAATGACACTTTAACGTACACAATATAAATAGGTATGACAAAACATTATTATTTAAGCCTAGGGCAAGACACAACGAGCGTCATATTTCTCTATTATTAATTATTATGCAATCTGAAACATTAAAAAAAACAAGTGATGTTGGTAGACTGTATTCAGGAGATAAATAACAGGAAAATTAAAGTAAGACGTGTCCCTACAACTAATACTATAGGCAGTTTTAATTTTCTGCAGAGTTATGTGAGTAAATGACAAGTTACAACGTTAGTTGCACTAATGTGATGTTACAAAGGAAAAAAATTAACTTCTGTGGATTTTTTTCTAATTGCATTCTGTTAATTTTTGAAAAACACTTTTGCTTCTACAGTATTTATGTGCAGGTCTCAAAGTCTGCAGCACATACAGCTCTTCATCTACTTAAGGAGGACTTGAGCACCTCAAATCACAGGGCAGAAATACTACGGAATCACAGACTCTTATTGCACTTGTGTATCCGTGCTGATTGTCAATGTAAGAAATACTTTTTAAGGGCTTAGAAGTAGGAATATAGAAGGATGCCAAAAATAAATACATAGTGTAAACTGTCACATTATTTTGAAAGCCCTGTTGTTTTCAAACAAAGATTATAAACTGAAATTCCATACAATACACTAGCACCAAAACGTACAGTACTCTCTGGACATCATGTAGAAATATAAAGTCAAGAGAGAAAGCACACATGGGTCTATTTTACTTAGATTAAAGGGTTACCTAAATTAACACTGGTTTAAAGATAACAAAAAGACCTCAAGGAGTAAGCAGCTGAACATAAATCTGGTTGTTTCAATTACTCTCATCACGATATCTCAGAAGGAAGCAGCTCAACATTCACCTGCAATTCTATTAGGACTGACTGTCAGCCTGAAGAGGAGGCATTTATTACTGTTAGACAGGACACTAAAAATTTTCTTTCATGATGACATCAGACTTCATTCTTGTATCATTAAATCCCCTAGTTGCCAGGATTCCATCCACACCTCCACCTTTGCTGTTAACAGTTGCCGTAAGATTTTATCTGCAGTCTTGGTCAGAGCCAAGACGATGTGCTGGCTGTCACCAACTCCAATCAAACAGTCTTCATTAAGTATTCACACCTCCCTCTGTTCACTGACTTTGACAAATCAGGGAGCACTGTTCCCACTCAGAGTTTCTTATTCTCATGTAAGATGTTGACAAATTTGGGTTTTCCAGAACAAGCTTCAACAAAATATGGGCTAAATCCTAATGATAAAATTGCATGAATAAAACTGATGACCAAAATAAAAGCATCCTCTTCCCTCTTCAGGGGAATCACATATGTTTATGAAACAGAAGACTTATGTACCACCACTAAAGCAGAAAACTGCATAGGAGGGTTCACTTCATATTTTGTTGGCCATGAAGACCTAAATATAGAACCACAGAATGGTTTGGGCTGAAAGGGAACTTAAAGATCACCTAGTTCTAAACCCCCTACCATGGGCCACCTTCCCCTAGACCAGGCTGAATGCTTCCAGGGAGGGGTTAGCCACAGAATCTCTGGGCAACCTGTTCCAGTGTCTCACCACCCTCAGGTCAAGAATTTTTTCCTTACATCTAGTCTTAATCCATCCTCTTTCAGTTTAAAACCATTACCCCTTGGCCCTGTCACTACACGTAAAAAGGCTCCCTCTAGATAATGGAAGGTGCTACAAAGTCTCCCTGGAGCCTTCTCTTCCCCAGGCTGAACAACCCCAATTCTTCATGAGAGATGTGCTCCAGCCCTCACGATCTGTGTCAGAAGTTGCAACTCAAGTCATCAGGTCCTTCTTCTAATGCCCTATAACCCATGGTTTGAAGTATAGCATCATCTTCTTAAGCTTCCCGTTGAATGTTCCTGATCTCTTAGCTACTGAGCAATCTCCTAACATTATCCAATAGCAACATCTAGGCATAAGAATAATCCTGAAAAAAAATATTTCATGCAAGATTCATGCCAAAAGTATAAATGATAAAATGCTACTATATTAAATACCATAAAAGATGCCATAAGAATAGAAATATAGATAACATTTCTCCTTCCACTCCTTATTCTCCTATAGTATTCAGAAGCTATAAACTCAGGTTAGGGCAACTCAGTATTTGTAAACTCACTAGCATAAAATGTATTGATTCTGAGTCATCTATCATCTAGACAGTAAAAATATATTTTGATCTATTAACACATAAATGTTATCCCCCAAAAAATTTTATCACCAGTCATAATGCTGTCATTGTATTAAATAAATATACCTTCAGAGACTTACACCAGAAAACTGAAGTATACAAAAGCATCCAATCAAAAGTGAGACTTAGTGTTTTTCAACTGAAAATTTTCATTAATGTGCATACTGCCACTGAATGGATAACAATATCCATTTTAGCCACTTTTTTAGGCACTTCAGGACAGTTTCATACCCCAACATCATAAAATATTTTGTTAACCTTGACATTTATTTTATCTCAATACTGACTTTCAAGGTCTGTTGTAATTTTTTTTCTACCTTCAGAGATCACTCTAACTGTAAGGACAACAGTAATTTTCTTAAGTAACTCAGTTTATTTTTTTGACATTCCTCAATCCTTCACAATAGCTGGTAAGTCAGCATTTAGCCAAATATGTGTCAGTAACCTCAGCCAAGATGCCCATAGCCATTTACACTGAAGAGAAACTCCCCTGCTGTATGCAATACCTGTTCCAGAATCAATCAACAACAGAAAATAGCAACAAAATGATCCTTGAAAGACTACCAAGCAAATATTCTAATGAAGAAAAAAGGACTTGTAAGATTAACTGTATTAATGCTACATAGTGACACCTGAGAAATACGTGTTTTGGGATAGCTTCCTGACTATAAAAACTCTAAAAGGCAGATTAACAAAAGGGGAGAAAAGCACTGTAGATA